TTTCATAAGATTTTTTTTTTTTTTTTTTTTTTCCCAAATATTTTGTGACACAGAGACACACTTCAGGATTTTAGGTCGTGGCAGTCAAAGGGTTTTAAATGACATGTTAGAAAAGACTGGACTACAGCATTTAGGAACCCAGTACTTGTTTTAGTTTTGACTTGAATTTAGTATGTAATTCCATTTTTGGACTTTTAATTTGCATATCAAAGATGTGCAGTGGACCCTCAACCAACAGCGGCATAGACTAACATCAAAATCGACTAACAGCTCTCTTTGGCGTCAAAAAATTGGCTCTACCAATGGTGAAAAACTCGTGTAGAGGCTTTCGTCCTGAACATGTCCATGCGGCCTGAGCACAGCCTGAATGGGCCCAGCCACTCCAAGACTTTATGTACAGCCAGTTTGCCAGTGTTTACAAGCTGTTTTCGTCAATTCCACATGTAAACTGCGATATATTTTGTATTATTCCAGTGTTTTTAGTGCTTGTAACTGCTAAATAAGCCACCATGGGCCCAAAGAAAGTTTCTAGTGGCAGCCCTGTGATAAGAAGGAAAGAAACACAATAAAATTCAAGAAAAAACCTCATAGCAAAGTACCAAAGTGGAGGAGGAAGAGAGAGGGAGAATGTGGCTTCTGCAGTGATTCATTGATTCTACGATATGTACGATACGAAAGCAGCAGGTACTGATAAAAGCTACAGTGCCAGAATTAATAGTGTAGCATTAACAGTGTAGCAAGTAAGTTAAGCGAGTAAGCGATAGAAAAACGACACAAAAGTAACTCTCCAATGTTGTTGGATGTGTGTGTATATCCGCTGAACATACGCTGGCCTGCTATCTTCCACTACCCTAAACCTCTGCCGGCATCTCCTCCATAAAACTAACTAATTAAACTAACATCTCCTCCAATGTAAGTGTAAATATAAAAGTGTAAGCATGAAAGTAAATATATTAAGTGTAAATATAAAAGGACCCCAATGGAAATGTATTGTTTGTTATATCATATTAGATGAACTGTGATAGATAAATAAGGCGTAGAGTTGATGATAGTGAAATATTCAAGGAGCATTTTGTCCTGTCTCCAAACACTCATTGCCTGCCGCCACAAAAATATAATGACATACTTCATTCATTCTAGAGTATATATCAGGTTTCTATGTTATTTATATTGTTTGTTATGTCATATTAAATTAATTGTGATAGATAAATAAGCCATATAGATGATATTAGAGAAATTATTCAAGAAGTATTTTGTCTGGTCTCCAGACAAACTGTCGTCCACCGCCCATACCACTACATGAATTACGTATTTTATTCATTTTAGAGTATATATCAGGTTTCTATGTTATTTATATTGTTTATTATGTCATATTAGATCAAGTGAGATAGATAAAATAAGCCGTAAGTTGATATTAGCGAAATTATTAAAGTACAGAATTCCACTGGAATGGATTAATTGCATTTCAGTTAATTTAAATGAGAAGAATTGACTGCAAACGAGCAAATCCAGTAGCGAGCAAGGTCATGGAACGGATTTAACTCGCAAGTAGAGGTTCCACTGTATGTAAGTCACTGACTTTTTTGGGTTATCCTAGGTACTTTACACATATGCTGCTCTGTATGATAATCTATGTAACTGTATTTGTGTATAACTGAATAAACTTACTTATTCATAATTAAAATTAAATATTTCTTATTTATAAATTACATACATTGTTTAAGTGTGATGTTGGTGCTGGCAGAAGATATCATGTATCTATGTTATTAATATTGTTTACAATGTCATATTAGATGAATTTTGATAGATAAATAAGCCGTAGAGATGATATTAGTGTCATATTGAAGCATAATAAACTTGCCTTTCTCTTGCCTCCTATGTGTCTGTCATACATCAACAAGTCAAGTCAGTAAAGGTAAGTGTGATGTTAAATATTCATTTATCCATTTTATTAGTGCTTTATATTTATTTGCCATTGTTTTGTGTATGTATATTTATATTTAATCTTTAAAAAACATTTTTTTTTTTTAACAAGTCGGCCATCTCCCACCAAGGCAGGGTGACCCAAAGAGAAAGAAAATCCTCAAAAAGAAAATACTTTCATCATCATTCAACACTTTCACCTCACTCACACATAATCACTGTTTTTGCAGAGGTGCCCAGAATGCAACAGTTTAGAAGTATATATGTATAAAAATACACAATATATCTCTCCAAACTGCCAATATTCCAAACCCCTCCTTTAGAGTGCAGGCATTGTACTTCCCATTTCCAGGACTCAAGTCCGGTTATATAAAATAACTGGTTTCCCTGAATCCCTTCACTAAATATTACCCTGCTCTCACTCCAACAGATCGTCAGGTCCCAAATACCATTTGTCTCCATTCACTCCTGTCTAACACGCTCATGCACGCTTGCCGAAAGTCCAAACCCCTTGCCCACAACACCTCCTTTACCCCCTCCCTCCAACCTTTTCGAGGACGACCCCTACCCTGCCTTCCTTCCCCTACAGATTTATATGCTCTCCATGTCATTCTACTTTGATCCATTCTCTCTAAATGACCAAACCACCTCAACAAACCCTCTTCAGCCCTCTGACTAATACTTTTATTAACTCCACACCTTCTCCTAATTTCCACACTCCGAATTTTCTGCTTAATATTTACACCACACATAGCTCTTAGACAGGACATCTCCACTGCCTCCAACTACCTCCTTGCTGCAGCATTTACAACCTAAGCTTCACACCCATATGAGAGTGTTGGTACTACTATACTTTGATACATTCCCTTCTTTGCCTCCATAGATAACATTTTTTGCCTCCACATATACCTCAATACACCACTCACCTTTTTTCCTTCATCAATTCTATGATTAACCTCATCCTTCATAAATCCATCCGCCGACACGTCAACTCCCAAGTATCTGAAAACATTCACTTCTTCCATACTCCTCCTCTCCAATTTGATATCCAATTTTTCTTTATCTAAATCATTTGATACTCTCATCACCTTACTCTTTTCTATGTTCACTTTCAACTTTCTGCCTTTACACACATTCTCAAATTCCTCCACTAACCTTTGCAATTTTTCTTTAGAATTTCCCATAAGCACAGTATCATCAGCAAAAAGTAACTGTCACTTCCCATTTTGTATTTAATTCCCCATAATTTAATCCCACCCCTCTCCCGAACACCCTAGCATTTACCTCATTTACAACCCCATCTATAAATATATTAACAACCATGGTGACATTACACATCCCTGTCTAAGACCTACTTTTACCGGGAAGTAGTCTCCCTCTCTTCTACACACCCTAACCTGAGCTTCACTTTCCTCATAAAAACTCTTTACAGCATTTAGTAACTTACCACCTATTCCATATACTTGCAACATCTGCCACACTGCTCCCCTATCCACTCTATCATATGCCTTTTCTAAATCCATAAATGCAATAAAAAACTTCCTACCTTTATCTAAATACTGTTCACATATATGCTTCAATGTAAACACTTGATCTACACATCCCCTACCCACTCTAAAGCCTCCTTGCTCATCCGCAATTCTACATTCTGTCTTACCTCTAATTCTTTCAATATAACCCTACCGTACACTGTTCCTGGTATACTCGGTAAACTTATTCCTCTATAATTTTTTACAATCTCTTTTGCCCTTCCCTTTATATAAAGGGACTATACATGCTCTCCGCCAATCCCTAGGTACCTTTCCCTCTTTCATACATTTATTAAACAAAAATACCAACCACTCCAACACCCCCCTGCTTTTAAACATTTCTGTCATGATCCCATCAGTTCCAGTGCTTTTACCCCCCTTTCATTCTACGTAATGTCTCACGCACCTCCCACACACTCCAATCCTGCTCTTCTTCACTCCTAAAAGATGATATACCTCCCTGGCCAGTGCATGAAATTACCCCCTCCCTTTCTTCGTCGACATTTAAAAGTTCCTCAAAATATTCTCGCCATCTACCCAAAACCTCCATCTCCCCATCTACTAACTCCCCTACTCTGTATTTAACTGATAAATCTATTTGTTCCCTGCGCTTTCTTAACTTGTTTAACTCACTCCAAATTTTTTCTTATTTTCATTAAAATTTCTTGACTGCCTCTCCCACTCTATCATCTGCTCTCCTTTTGCACTCTCTCACCACTCTCTTTACCTTTCTTTTACTCTCCAATATACTCTGCTCTTCTTATAACAATTCTGCTTTGTAAAAAACCTCTCATAAGCTACCTTTTTCTTCTTTTATCACACCCTTTACTTCATCATTCTACCAATCACTCCTCTTTCCTCCTGCCCCCACCTCCTATAACCACAAACTTCTGCCCCACATTGTAATACTGCATTTTTAAAACTCATCCAACCCTCTTCAACCCCCCCACTACTCATCTTTGCACTAGCCCACCTTTCTGCCAATAGTCGCTTATATCTTATATCTCTAAAAAACATATTTTTTGTTAATACTTTTGCCTGTCTGAAACGGATTAATTGGATTTCCATTATTTCTTATGGAGAAAATTAATTTGACTAATGGCTAATTCGACTAAAGGCTAGCTCTCTGGAACGGATTAAAGCCATTGGTTGAGGGTCCTCTGTATTAGTGTCTTGTGTGGTTCCTGTGTTTTTCTGCAGTATGACATTAATCACTATTACAGTACTTGCTTCATTTCTATAATAATTGATTACTTACACCAGAATTTCCAAAACTGGAATCTCAATTTTTTTTAAATTACTGTGTATCTGAATATAGAATTTTTTTTTGCAATCAGTTGAAGTTTTCTACAAAGTATTGATGTGACTTATTGAAAGGAAAGATTGCAATTATTACAATAGTCTATGCATATAATTTCCATATTTGTATTATGGATGAGAAACTTCTATGAAGACATAGGCAGAAATACTGTGTTTCCATTGTTTCTCAGTAATTCAGTCATTAGATATATATTATGTTGCTATTTTTATTCATTCTCTTCTCAACAGACATTCCTTAGAAATTTTAAGTCCTACCGAGGATCCTTCCAACCCTGGTTGTAATGTGGGTTCATCTGGGTATAGTGGTGGTAGTGGTATTGGTGGCAGTGGGAGCATGCCAGGAACTACAGTAGACCTGCCTCAGGAAACCCCTGTTACTGGAGAGCAAACAGTGTTGACGGAACTTCAAGGTTCACCAAGAATACAGCCATCTACCATCTCGTTAAGCTCTCTAGGGTTATCATCGTCTACACAACAAGTGACAGCAACCACATTGTAAGATATATACGTATATTCATATTTTGATCCTTTTACTATACACCACAGTACAACTATACTTGGCAAAAATTTGGAAAATAAATTTGTTCAGTAGCTGTCTTGCCAGATATGCACAGACAGCACAGTTCAAATGACCCTCCAAAGTATAACATCCCAAGATCCCTAGTGCATTCGTCGTACTTTACCACCACCTTGTCGGATCAACCAGTTTTTCTTGAATTTCTTCTTAAAAACTACTATTATCCACTTGCCCCAGTCTAAAACAAAAACAAAAAACACACACACACACACACACACACACACACACGCACACACGCACACGCACATGCACACGCACACACACGCACACACACGCATGCGCACGGATACATGCCTGTTAGATGCTCAAGCCCCTACCACTTAAAACCTTACCACCCTCCTTTCAACCCCTTTTTTTTGGATTACACCTGCTGAAAGGGCAGGGGGGTTTATGGACTCATTTGGTCATCCTATTCTGTACCATATTCTTTAAATTCATTAACCACATCACAAACCCTTTTCTGCCCTCTAAATAATACTTTTCATAACCCTGTCTCATCAGGTGATTTATTCATCCTGAATTCATTGCTTAATATCCACACCACACATTGCTCTCAAGTATGACATCTCTGCCTCCAACCTTCTTGCTAAAACATTTAGAGCCTATTCCTTACACCCACATGAAAAGGTTGGTACTACACTAGACTCTGGTACATTACCCATTTTATCTCATAAATTAACTTCTGTCTCTCCAAATATACCTCAGCATATTATCTACCTTTTCCTTTCATTTATTTTGTGTCTTAACTAGTCTTTCATAGATCATCTGCTGACATGTCCATTCCCAAATACTTTAATTTCCTCTGTGTTTCCTACTTCCAGTCTGATTTCCAATTTTTCATTGCCCTAATTTTTTTGTTGTTACTCTCATCATCTTGCTCTTTTCTATATACACCTTTAATTCCTTTTCCTATCTTTTTTTTTTTTTACACGCTGGATGCTTCCCATCTGGGCAGGGTGACCTGAAAAAGAAACATTCCCCATCATTCACACTATCACTGTCTTGCCAAAGGCACATGATACGACAGTTTAGATGTCCCTCTACTGAGGTATTCTGAAGACATGTTACAAAGGTTGGTGGATGTCCCAAACCCCTCCTTTACAGTGCAGGAACTGTGCTTCCCACCTCCAGGGCTCAAGTCCAGCTAACTTTTATTTACTTACCCTCCCAAATTCATCCACCAACCTTTGTAACATGTCTTCAGAATGCCTCAGTAGAACTGTCCCTCAGCACAGAGTAAACTGTGATAATTCCCACTTTTTGTCAGATCCAACATCTTTTAATCCCAAACCTCTTCCCAACACTCTAGCATTCACTTCTTTTACAACCCCATCAGTAATTATCATTTATCCCTGTCTGAGTTAAATTTCAAAGAGAAATAATTCTCCATTCCACATGCCTTAACCTGAGCCTCACACTGCATAAAAACTCTTAACTGCTTTTATTAACTTTCCTCCTATCCCATACATATGCACCATCTGTCAAATTGTTTCCCTTTCCACCCTATTGCATGTCTTTCATTTCATAGATGTAGCAAACAGCTCTTTACCCATATCTAAGTAGTACTTCTCACTTGTATGCTTCATCATAAAAAAAAAATTATTATTATTATTATTGTGCTTGAAACTTGCATTAATATTTATATAAATACTCTAAGACAACTTCATTCCAGTTATGTGGCCTTATACTCTTACCGAGGACGGAAAGCTGATGAGCTAGAATTAAGAAAGGGCTACATATACACTGTGACAGAAAAATGTCAAGATGGATGGTTCAAAGGGCGTTGTATTACAACTGACAGAACTGGTGTCTTCCCTGGGAACTACGTTCAAGTTGCCAAGTAAGTATACAACATTTTAATCTTTATTATAGTATTTTATTACTACTGAGAGCAGATTTCAGCAAAATAGTTGAAGTGAGCAGGATAATATTTTGTGAAGGAATTCAGGGAAACAGGTTAGCCAGACTTGAGTCCTGGAAATGGAAGTGCAATGTCTGCACTTTGACCCTCTGACTGTTACGACCCCAAATCCTGAAGTGTCTTTCTGTGTTGCAAAATATTCGAAAAATAAAAAAGTATTTTTTCGTATGAAATGATAGAGAATCTTTTCTCGGTGGTAATAACACCAAAAGTTTGAAATTTGATGGAAAACATGGAATTTACACCCCTTGCGAAGTTAACGATCTCAGCAATACAGTGGTCCCTCATAATCATAAGGCTCGATAGTCGTAATTTTCGAAAATCATAACGTTATTTTCATCAAAACATTGGCTCCTGAATTGTCGTTCATCTGGGACGTGTACACACAGCCCTGAGCCGCCTCACACTCCATTCCCAGCCAGTGTGCCATTGTTTATAAGTGAGTGAGGATGATCCCACGAGTTCATATGATACATTTCATAATATTCCATTTATTTTAGTGCTTGCAACTGCTAAATAAGTCACCATGGCTCCAAAGAAACCTTCTAGTGCCAGCCCTTTGGTAAAGAATGTGAGAAACACATAATTTAAGAAAAAATTTGTAGAAAAATACGAAGGTGGTGGTGGTGGTGGTAGAGTGGAAGCAGTTGTGATAGTGGTTGATGGTGGTATAGGGTGGTAGTGATGGTGGTAGAAGGTGGTAGTGATGGTGGTAGCAGTTGTAATAGTGGTAGAAGGCAGTAGTGATGGTGGTAGCAGTTGTAATTTAGTGGTTGAAGGTGGTAGTTATGGTAGTAGCAGTTGCAATAGTGGTAGAAGGTGGTAGTGATGGTGGTAGACAGTGGTAGTGGTTGTGATGGTGGTAGAGGGTGCCTTCTTCAGTGATTCAGCAATACTACTAACTCCTCCAATATTGTTGGAGTTATATAGGGCTACAGAAAACACCGCCGCCTCAGCTGCTGCTTTACCACCATTATGGACGGCTTACTCTCAGTGACATACATAAATCATTATGTATGTCACCTTGTGACATACATAATGATTTATTTTGTTCATTCTTGAGTATATTCCATGTTTCTATGTTATTAGTATTGTTTATTATGTCATATTAGTTGAATTGTGATAGATAAATAAGCTGCAGAGTTGATATTAGTGCCATATTCTCCAACAATAAACTTGCCATCCCTCCCTCACACAACCAAGTCTTCAATAAAGGTAAGTGTGATGTTAAATAAGAACATAAGAACTTAAGAAAGGAGGAACACTGCAACAGGCCTGGTGGTCCATACTAGGCAGGTCCTTCACAAATCCAACCCACTAACAGAACAAATGCTACCCAAGCAATAAGCTCAGGTGCAAGTCTGACTCAAATCCAACTCCTCTCACTCATGTATTTATCTAACCTAAATTTGAAACTACCCAAGCCATAGCTTTTAGAACATAAGAAAGGAGGAACACTGCAATAGGCCTGTTGGCCCATACTAGGGAGGTCCTTCACAAATCCAACAGACTAACAGAACAAATACTACCCAATCAATAAGCTCAGGTGCAAGTCCGACTCAAATCCAACCCTTCTCACTCGTGTATTTATCCAACCTAAAATTTTAAACTACCCAATGTTTTAGCTTTGATCACCCTACTAGGCAGAACCATTCCACTCATCAACTACCCCTATTACCAATGTTCATTTACATTTTATTAGTGCTTTACATTTATTTGGTATTCTTTTCTGCATGTAAATCTATATTTAAGCTAGGGAAGTGACCCCTGAAGTGACGTATAGAGTCCTTATGGAGGGGGATTTCCCTTCCAAACAATAACCTCTCTTCCCACTCTCCTCCTCCCTGTCTTCCATTCATCAACAACAGCCATCTATAAAGGTAACTGTCATGTTGAATGTTCATTCTTTTGTGCATGTAAATCTATCTTTAAGGTAAAAAAAAATTGTTGTTGATACTTCTGGGTATCTGGAATGAATTAATTGGATTTACATTATTTCTTATGGGGAAAATGGATTCGAAAATCGTCAATTTCAATAATAGTCACACTTCCAGGAACGGATTAATTATGAAAAACGAGGGACCACTGTATATATGCATCGGCGATTTCGCCCACTTTGAACCTAATTTAAGGCCAATTCCATTTTTCCAGTCAACCAAACTCATAGCTATTTCTTTAGAACTCCATTTGTTCTATCAATTGAGTACAAGAAAACATCCATTTACCGATTTCAACTACAAAATAAGTCATCAAAAATTGGAAATTTGGGCCAAATTTTCATAAAATTAAAAGATCCCAAATTTCAAAAAAAGGTGCCTCGGGGGCCCGCACCCGCAGCAAGCAGCAAAAAGGTCTCCTAAAAATTTGCCGTCCCCTGGGCCTATCCAACTCCAGTGAGGGCCAAAAATTGCAAGTACTGCTGCAACAACATCAAGGAATCTTAGTGACATAAAAACGACGGGACGAAAACGAAATGGACTAAATATGAAAAAGAGGGACCGCATTCAAGTACCGACCTCTGCCAGACGTGAACCAGACACAAGACGTTTTCCAATTCAACTGCACCATGTTCAAGGGGAAACAACAGGCAGAAAACTGATCAAAAAACCCCAAAGGGAAATGACGGGTCTTAGGACTTTTTTCCTCAGTCCAAACGAGGGAAAGAATTGAGCTTTTAAAACATGGCTGACTGGCACCCCAAACCCACACCCCAGATGACAACTACGAGTAATTTCTCACTTTATGCGTTCATCTTTTGACAGTACATCAATCGTACCATCATCATATCCCCTTTGTACCATGCAAACGAGAGGGAAACACGGGAGACATCGCAAATCACATACAAAACCCCCAAGGTTATGGGACGGTTTTTCCCCGTCCAGTCATGGGAAAAAAGTGAATATTTTAAACAGTCAAGGTTAATTTTTTAGTAGCGACCTATTTTCAGCGACCAGGTACAGTGAGAGAATTTTATAGCAGAAAACCCAAAAATATATCTTAAACCAAGGAAAGTCAGGTTTAGGGGGCGTTTACTTCCCTAAAGTTTTTTAAAAAGGGCCGAGTCAGCAGATCGGTCGGGGCAACAACAACACCACAAAACCCCCCGATAAATAAAATTGGGGGTTTTTTTGGGAAGGAAAAACCCATTGATTAAACCCTTTTTGGGGTACCAGAAGGGAAAGGGAGTTAGAAGTTAAGGGGTGAAGCCAACTGTGAGGGGGCAGGAAGGGGGAGTGTGTAATAAGGGGTTAACTGGGGGGGTTTGGAAGTTAAGGAAAAGTGAGCAGGAAGAGGGTTTTTAAAAAAAAAAAATTTACTAGTAATTCAGTGGGATTGCTAAAGTGATACTAGGGTGTATAAGTAAAAGGGAAAAAGAGAAAAAAATATTATTGTATAGAGTAAAAGACAAAGATAAAAAGGGCAGGCATTAGGGGGGTACGGGCTCCATAATTAATTTATTTTTCTTTTTCATTCTGAAGAAAGAAATCAGCATGGGGGCAAAAAGGTGAATGGAGAAAACACCCCTGACTAAAAGCCCAACAGTTCCCATCCACCAGAAAAGTAAAGTCACCGCCGAAAGGGTATGGCAACACCGCATACCCCAAAAAAAAAACAGTGGCAACACTCTTTTTGGTACGTTTAAATGGTGATATCCAAATTAATCCGGACCCAAACATTTGGCAGAGGCAAAAAGACAGATAAATGACGGGGAAATGATGGTCTAGAGCTAGGAATGAAACCTTAACCCCATATGTAATGCATACATGTAAAGGGAGCAATACAGCCATTATTTCTAAAACACTACCAAACAGGTGAAACCTGTACAAATACCATGAAAAACAGAAAAGGCACCTTATGAAAATTGAAAGGGGGGTGGGGCATGTGGATGTTTTAATTATAGCAACGGTGCCAAATTTCATTTTGTAACAAATGCACTTTGGCCAGTTCCCCTTTAGCAATGATGACATTGATTTCCAATTTAATAAAAATGCCCCATTGATATTGAGATTATAATTTTTTTTATGAAAACAGGCCTTCCTTTATTCATGTCAACCAAGATCACTTCTTCCAAAAATTGCAAGGATTAGGTTTCTAGCTAACAAAATTTGGGGCGGCAGTTAAACCCCATCTCTAAATCCTGGCTGGATGATACGGGGACTGACGGCGAGGTCAAAATAAAAGGGTTACAAAAAAATGCTTAGATAGGAACAAAAGGGTGGTGGAGTATGTGCCACTTTAGAAATAAACTTTGCTTACAACCCAAGACCGTTTTAAATAACATTAAACTGGAGATTCTTGGTTTGAATGTGCTTCCCCAAGACAAAACCCATCTTAGTAGGAACTGTTACCGCCCTCCCCCACCCATGACCAGTTCTTAGAAACTTTTCCCGATATTGTCCGACTTGAAAACAATTGTGAACAATGATCTGGGCCTTCATATCTTTTTCAGCAGCAAAAAAATGGGCTATGCAAAAGGATAAGCAAATTCGTTTTTAAAAAGTTACACTCAACTAATTTAAACACCAATCCCGGGTCACACGTTTCCCCCCCCTAATTGACCACATACTTTTTTAACCGTCTGAGAAAAACCAGTCAGGCGTTTACCAAGGTCTTAGTGATATTTCATCATTTTCTGCACCGGAAAATCACTGGGATGGGGTAGGGCCCACACAGGACAAAAAAATGAGGCAACTAAAACTAACAAAAAACACGGGAAATAGCTAACAATTGGACTGGAAGAGGAACAAATTTTCAGGACTAAACGATGCCTGGGGAAAAAATTTAAAACAATTTCACTACCCTCCTTGATAAAATTGCACCCGTTAAAAAGGTTGGATTAAAAGAAAAACTGAACCTGGAGACTACAGGGTATTAGATAATATGAAACTCAAGCCATGCTAAAAAGATTAAAGCAAAAA